GTTTAAGAATATTGAAAAGAAATAGCAAAATAAATTTCATGTATACGTATACATACATCAAAAGAAACCGATAATATATCGAAATGTCATTAAAAATAATCCGTTATGCCGCGGCAGAACGGCAGAGAGAACGGCAAGAATTTTGAAACGCTCCCTTACTCATATTCTCTAATCTTTCAAAAAACTTCGTTTTGAGAATACAAAGGTATGAAGACTTTGAGTAGTAAAACTGAATCTACTTGACCAAATACGCACACATAGTTCTGAGATGGACTATGACAAACGTGAAGAAGATTTTTGTTTACGATTCAAATAATTCCGTCGTGTTTTACATTTTAATATTGTAGGAGTAGTGCTGTAATATTTTTTCTGATTTTCATATTTCACATGTAGTCATTCTCAATTAGATACAAGAACTATATTTGACGTCATAAAATCTGCCAAAGGTGTTGAAATAGTACCAACAATCGAAATAATATCAGTTGAAGATATTGCTCTAGAAGCCATGAACGATGGTGGACGCTCTTCAGTTCGTGTTGCTGTACAGAAGTTTTACTATCGTGATACATACGGACTCATCTTTGTTGTTGATTCAACTGATCGAGAAAGGATTGATGAAGCACGTGATACACTTTATCAGCTGTTAAATGAGGAAGAACTTCGAAATAAACCTATACTCATTTTTGCAAATAAACAAGATTTATCCAATTCAATGTCATTTGATGAAATACGAGACAAACTCAATTTAACTAAACTCGATGGAAATACCAAATGGCATTTACAGCTAGTACGTGCCACTCAAAATGAAGATCTACAGGAAGGTTTGAAATGGTTGGGAAACTCAATGGCAGAAAAGTTCGATTTAATGAAACCCATTATTGACACACTCAACGATGCACAAACGATCAAAAAAGATCTCATGTCCATATTCAATAGAGACAATTTAAAAGGGTTGTTGAGTAAATTTTGTCTAGTTTCAGATGAATCCGGATCTTCTCAACTCCAGGACAAACCTTAATATCTGATATTTACAAACGCGAAAAACAGATCCGGAAAAAGCACAAATTTTGCTTTTAATTTTTTATCACCGAACAAGATTTTTATTTGCATCATATTATCAAATTGTATTGATGTATTAATAGAAAAAAAATAAGAAGTAACAAGATTTGTTTATGTAGTCAAGTAAACATCAAAAATATAGCTACATTAGCTAGACACCCATGCGAATTGTACGATTGCTTTTCTTTCAGGCTATCTTTTAACAGTCGTAGACTTGAATATGGCTTCTATTCCTCGCTGTAGCTCGTGTTCTATGTGATATATTGTTGTCGTACTATTTCCTATTGTGTATCTATGTTCATAAGATATGCTGATCTCTCTTTGGTGTTTAGAATGCGGAAGATTTTTCGTTGGATTGTAGTATTAAAAGTCCTCTACCATTCCTGTGTTAACCCTTAAAAGCCGAAGGGGTTTCCTCTGACAAAGAGGAGAAGCTAACCACTGAAATAGAAGCACGACGCCCTCACTATGATTATTTTGTGAGGGGAAAAGAAGGATAATTTTACCTTATAGAGATGCTAAATGTCCCTTGGGAGGGACATTCGGTCTCTACGGTCCAAACTTTTCCTTTTTTTCCCACTCTTGTGTGATAAGTTTTTTTTATATGAACAACTTAATTTATTTACTTCAATAGACGATAGATCAAC